CAAGTTCCTGATAGGGTCACTAGACTCTACCTGCAAGAATTAATTTAAACAAAAATACACAAATTATTTTATAAAAGTACAAACAATTTTTTTTTCAATTTTTCAAGATTTTTTTCCCTAGATGATCCAACTAAATTAAAAAATATATTCTACTTCATAATGAAAAAACCTAGTCACGAAACTTTGTAGTGGAATTATTGAAAAATTGCTCCTGAATTGTCACTTTAATCCAATTATACACAAAACTTTTCCGGCTATTTCTTTAAAACCTAATCCAATAGAATCGATTACTAAATTATCCTAAACTGCACGAAGTTATCAAAGAAGTTAGCACGCGCACACAAAATAGTCACTAAATCAATCCCAATAGCACTGGCTGGCTGCTGAGGTTCAGGAGGTCTTAGTGGCTTCAGGAGTTCTCCAATGCCTTAATGATTTCCTCGACGTTGATCACTTCGAGGATGGCGAGTACATATTTGTCAGAATCCTCGGGTTCTTGTCATATATCGGTGATCTACCTTATCCACCGCCCATCTCAATTACCATCAATCGAGTGGACATCGCCTTTCCAGGTGACCACTGGGCACGAGTCAATCGAGTCATGATTATCATTCAAGTGACAATTCTAACCTAATGTATTACTACACGAATCTAATTGAATAAATACCAAAGTATATGTTTAATCGAGTAATTATTGTGAGCAATATTCCACAAATGGCGACGAGGAATATTCGAGACCACGTCCAGCAGTAATCTAGTCAATATCGATACTATATTATGAAATAATTGAGCAAGCACCTTGCCCAGAGCACGTGCTCGCCGAACTAGTACTCCGGAAAAAACTGCATGCCAGGACCTCCGGAAGATCCAGCCCAGACTTCCTCGACGGCAGACCCTGGGGAAATAGGAAATACAAAAGACTGAATAACAGCACCACCTACTGTGAAGTAGGAGAACACGATGACGGCACCAATAGGTACGTTACCAGAATTCAACAGCACCAAGGACAAGTGGAAAGAATACTTGGAAAGATGTGGATATTTCTTCGATGGAAATAACATAACCGACGAGAAATTAATGAAGAGTACGCTACTAATGGCGGTAGGTGCCAAATCATTCAAATCAATTAAAAATATTGTAGCCCCAGAGGAATTAAAGGACGTAACCTACCAAACGATAACAGAGAAATGCAACGCAGCATTCTCCAAATCAGTAAATGAACTGCTGGCTCGGGTTCCAGAAACGCGATCAAAGACCAGGAGAAACGTTTAGGGATTTCGTAACCGAGCTGCGAAAACTCGCCATGGACTGCAAATTCGGTGGAGAGAACTCCACACTGCCACTCAGCATCATGCTGAGAGATCGATTTGTGGCAGCAATAGCAGACCAGAAACTACAAAGATATTTGTGGAGGAGGCATGAAGAGAAACTGACCCCCACAAATAAAATTGGCCTCACGCTGGACAAGGCACTGGAGGTTGCATGCAGCATTGAGGGGACGGAAAAATTGCAGAAGACGTTAAAAAACTCGGAATCAACACCAGTAAGCCGTATCGATTCCAAGAGTCAAAGTAAAAATACGCGAAAAGATCATTCACCAGACAAATGCAGTCACAAAAACTGCACATGTAAATTTTGTGACAAAACCGGGCACATTGAACTAGCCTGCTTTGGGAAGAAGAGCGCAGAGAAGAAGAAAAAGAAGTCCGCTACACACCACACAACCCAGACAGACTCAGAATCAGTTGAGGCAACAGTGTATGCAGCTAGAAGTAGTCAAGTCAACAGAGCAGGAATACAACAGGAATACAACAGGTAGAACCTGCTACCGAGTATCAACAATACCCTGGCCTCCTCAAGAAAGAGCTCTCGGGACACAGAGGCACTCCAATTCACATCGAGCTAAAACCGGAATCATCACCAAAATTCTTCAAAGCACGAAGAGTACCATACGCCATGATGGAGTCAGTACACGAGGCTCTAGTGGAAATGGAACGGGATAACATGATTACGCCCATTGACCAATCGGACTGGGTGTCGCCAGCGATCTTCGTAAAGAAGTCCCATGGAACACCATGAGTGGCAACGCTCAATGGGAGAGTACTCTTCTCGCAAATAGACTTGAAGAACGCATACAAACAACTCCGAGTAGACGAGGAAACGGCGAACATACTGACCCTCAGCACATCCAAGGGCCTATACAAGGGCATCCCAGGAGTCCTAATATACCTGGATAATATAAAAATCCAAGGGGCAACCAAGAATGAGCATGATGAGAGACTGAGGGAGGTACTGAGATGGTTGAAAGCAGCAAATCTTCGCATCAATCGCGAAAAGACCATCATGGGGGTGGAGAAGATGGAATTCCTGGGGTATGAAGTCTCCAAACAAGGGATCAGACCCCTAAAGAAGAAAATAAAAGCTATCGTCAAGATGCCACCACCAACAAAGGTGAAGGAGTTACAGTCATCCCTCAGCAGCGTAAATTTTCACAACCGAAGTTTCGCAGACAGGGGCAACATCGCTGAGCCTCTTCATCGGCTACTGGACAAGAACACAAGCTGGAAGTGGACGGAACGCCATCAAGAAGCCTTCACGAAACTCAAGGAACATCTGGCATCAGTACTAATACTATGCCATTATGACGAATCCAAGTCAATCATCGTAGCAGCCGATGCTTCACCGTATGGTATCGGCGCGATCCTATCCCACGTGGATCAAGACAACGTAGAGCACCCAGTGGCTTTCGCATCAAAGACGTTATCAGCAATCCAGCGCAACTACTCTCAACTAGAGTGAGAAGCGCTGGCACTGGTCCATGCAGTGACTCATTATCACCAGTACTTGGCCGGTAGACACTTCAAATTGATCACGGATCACCAACCGTTACAGGGGATATTCAACCAAGCCCAATCGCCCGACCCCGGAGATCATCTCCCCAAAACTCATCAGGTACCTCAACACCCTCAGAGCCTATGACTATGAGTTGGAGACAGTTGGAGTCAGGAGACACTTGGTGAAATCTTAATGATCGGAAATGTGTCAAGAGACCCAATCTCTCACAAAGAAATCGCAGAAGAAACTCAGAAAGACAAAATACTGAGACAAGTTAATGGATGGATACGACACGGCTGGCCAGACAAAGTACAACCCTAGTTTACCCCATACTCAAAAAAAAAATTGAAATTATCTATTGTGAGGTAATTTTCCAAGCGCATCTGCAGGATTCAGACGCGTGGTTCTCCACGAACTTTCAGCGACCCTGGACTCTCTCAACTCGGAATGAGAACGACGGGGATAAGCGAGAGGAGACAAAATGCCAAAAGGGCGCCAGTCCTTTTAACCGCCAAAGGACAAGGTCATACCGTTGAGACGCGTTCCACAACTAGCTCAGATAGCCGCGGAGGCGTGTGGGAACAGGCTGCAGTGAGCGTAACTCAACACTATGCAAATTTTTATAACCAAAAAAACAATTATATTTTCAATCAATGAACTACGGTAAGGACCTTTTACTCGTCCATACGATAGTCAACGTAGAATTTTATGTACAAGTGCGGGAGGAAACTCCCGCGAGCACAGACGCTACACAAACCAAATTATATAACAAGGAAAGCAATATGGATTCGGTAACTAATTGAAGCAGGCACGCATCAATACTTAACCCTAAGTGAAGTTAACAAAACCAAAAGAAAAAAATGTCATTAACTTATTTATAATAACTAAATAAAAGAAATAATAATAACTTTAAAGATGCGTGGGAGACGCTAGTACGCGAGGATCACCCGTACGCGACGACGACGCGAGCGCCACGATACGAAAAGTTATTGGGGAAGATCGACATATTAGATGAGTTAAGACCAGTTTTTCCCCACACACAAAAAAAATTAGTGATAGTAATCAAGAAGTAATAATCAATGAAAATTAACTCATGAGGTAGCTGAAGGCTACAGAGTGCCGCGTCACAAGCAGACTCGAGTACATTCCCAAACGGCCCCAAAATGGGAGCCGGAGTGGATTCCCTACCAGAAGTACGCGTGCACTCACAAAAGAATTTCGACGCTCACCGTGACACCGCGAGAAACACCAGGCAGACTTGTCTGGACCCTCAGTACGGCGACGTCGGAAAAGAAGGCCGGAAAATTCGGGCACAACACCACAAGTACTTTATTCTTTTTGGTTTAGGCAATTAGGCTCGAAGAACGAAAGAAACTCAAAATGCGCAGAGCGACTTTAGCTGAACAAATCCCAGCGAAGAGTGTCCGTCGGGGCCGTACATCGCCCCGAGGAACCCCTCAATCTCTCCTACCCCCACCCGATCACGTGATGAAGCGTGAAGAGTCCAGGTGATTCGACAATTTTGACTTTAGCATTTTTAAAATGGTTCTAGTTCCCAATTCCTTAGTCCCAGAAACTGAGACTTGCGCCTCGCGGTCGGTGGATGTGATTCGCGTTGAGCGGCACAGAAGCCAATATAATCCGATGCTCCCTCAATGTTGTACCATCGGTTTTTTTACTGGGCGGGCTTGTGCCACCGATCCATCGGTGAGATGGTGGGGGTTCGCACGTAGAGTCCTGAGATGCCTGCTGGCGTGCGACGATCGTCTTTCGCGTCCTTCGTGGTGTGAGTCTCCTAGACTCGGTGTGTGCGTGCTCATCGGTGTGCTGCTCCTCAGCTATAGCGCCGTCTTATAGCCATTCCCGATGCTCCGCTCCACTCCCCTCGTTACGAAGCTCACGTAACCCACGGTGAGCGCGATCGACAGAGTTCGAGAGAATGATGAAAAGAAGGTAAATAAAGGAAATAAAATAAAATAAAATGACAATTATGGCCCTGGGTGATCCGACTCCTCGCTGGAGTAAGATACTAATTTTTCCCCCATGATCCGCCGTCAGTTCAGGCGAGGAACAGTACATGATTTTTATCATGTTACACTATCTACAAAGCGTGTATAATTTGGGGGCACCAAGTCGTCATCCCCACGCCTCTACGCAAACAGCTGATGAAATATCTACATGGAAATTACCCGGGCATATGTGGTACCAAGGCAGCAGCACGATCATATGCTTGGTGGCCAGGCATCGACAAAGACGTTGAAACTATTGTTAGAAATTGCCAAGAGTGCATGGAAGTACTGTCAGCCCCACCAAAGACGCCAACACAACCATGGGAAGCACCAGAAAAACCCTGGAGTCGCATTCACTTGGATTTTGCTGGACCTATCGCAGGTCAATCGTTCCTGATTGTCGTGGACGCAACCACGAAATGGCTCGAGGTCAAACGAGTAAGTTCACCAAATTCAATGAACATAATTAAAATTCAACGGGCACTGTTCGCCACATTTGGCATCCGAGGCACCATTGTGTACGACAATGGCACAGCATTCATGTCTGATGAGATCAAATTCTTTTACAATAAAAATGGAATCAAGACAGTTTACATAGCTCCATACAACCTACAAGCAAATGGCCAGGCAGAGAGAATAGTACAAACAGCCAAACGTTCAGTAAAAAAGCTGAACGAGGGGGACTGGGAGGTCAAATTAGCCAGAATCCTCCTAAAGCAACACATCACACCGTCTTCAGCCACGGGAGTGTCACCAGCGGAGCTTATGTTTGGAAGAAAAATCCGCACAGCTCTGGACAGGCTGCCACCCAAGGATGAACCTGACCAAGACAGTGGGTATTACTCAACAAAAATTCGTAGACTGCAACCTGGGGACAGAGTTAGGATGAGGAATTATCGAGCAGTAGGTCCACGTTGAATTGTAGCAACAATATTGGAAGTACTGGGTAGCCGAAACTACTTTGTCAAAGAACAAGAAACTGGACTGATACACAAACGCGAAATATATCAACTAGTCAAATTATCCCAGGAACAACACGACGACCCTGAGTCTAAGGAGGCGAATCAGTAACAAAAATCAATAAAAACCGAATACTGCAAAGAAGACCCACGAGAGGATGAAGAAAACCAATTCGACTTCAATGAAACGACATCCGAAGGTAACACCGATCCTGAAGAAGATCCGTTAGACCATGAGAATCCTCTCAGAGAGGAATGAGAAAAAGGACAGCAAGCATCTGAAGAGCAGCTAGAAAACGTTTAAGACGAGAATAAAAGACGCACAGGCGAAAACCAAAATGTGTTGGTAAGAGCAAAAACCGATACAGGGACAGCCTGCTGGAATCCAGCGTCATCGAGGGTCTTCCATCAGGACAAATAAAATCCAGGAAAGGAATTAAATAACATCCAGAAAGAGAGGGATGTCATATAACGATGATCTACTTTATCCACCGCCCACCTCAATTATCATCAATCGAGTAGACATCGCCTTTCCAGATGACCACTGGGCGCGAGTCAGTCGAATCATAATTATCATTCAAGTGACAATTCTAACCTAATGTATTACTGCACGAGTCTAATTGAATAAATACCAAAGTATATGTTTAATCGAGTAATTATTCTGAGCAATAAAAGTTCTTTTGTAGGCTCGGGAAGAGGCGAAGATGATATATGTTCGTCGAGGCACTCCAGTATCTCGGATTTCATTCCGCAGCTAGGTCCGGGAGAATGTGACCAAAGCCATTTTCTCGGTTCCAGGAGGCAAGGAAGAAGAATATATCAGTAGCGAAGTGGTAAAATGGTTTAAGTCGACTCATCTCCCAGTTGAGTTTTTGAGGAATATTTCCGACTTTGAGGGAGATAGCAAAATTTTCGTAATTACATTTGTTGTAGCACTCAATCGGCTATACAAAACGGTTATAATAATAATTTGGTTATCTCCCTTAGATTCCGAGATATTCATTGAAAACTGATCAATAGTCAAAAATGACTTATACCGTCTTACCACTTCGCTACTGATATGGTTACGCATGCGGGATGTAGTACTCCTCTGGGGACTTCTCCCACATATCCTCCCGGTAATCCTCGTGAGTCCTGTCGCCCTCATATGGTTGCTGCCGTATTCTTGTAGATCCAATAAAAGTCTATAAAGTTATACTCCATGGTTTCGTCCAGGATCCAATTGAGTCAATGGATTTCACCCATTTTGCGGAAGCAGTTAGTCATGTTATAATCTCCCAGTATGGCCTCGGCAGTTCAGTGGAGTCCAGGGTAGCACAAGTGCAGCAGAAACTCTTCCGAAGCACTGACACCCCCTGGTAACTTTTTTAATTTTCTTTTTTTAATTTTTCATGTCCCACGTTGTAAAATAGACATAGGGTAGGGAACCACATCCTGGTGATCCTCTTCTTGATGACTTGGAGACCCAGATCGTCCGATCGCATGAGGTTGTCCATTGAGGTCCATTGAGGTCCATTCTCTATCATGGTTGAGTTGAAATCACTTTTGGCACTGTAATTTTGAAACTTTCAGAGACACTCATGAATGAACGCACGCAAGGCAGGTTTTTACGTCACCCCGGAACCTTTGGTTTAAAGAAGGGATTGTTTGGAAAAATGATGTGGAAAGAAGGGGAAATTTCTGTGACTTTTCAAATGTAGGTGTATTTGGAAAGTAGAGGGAAGAGACTTTTGCTCTTTTCCGCTGGACAATGTACTTGTCTGCCCCTTCGCTACAGCGTTGAATGACCCAGTTAGATTTTTTGTCATTGCCTGTAATACTGAAGCGAGGTGTTTCCTTTCTTATGCTGACCGATGTAATGTTGCACCCCAGCCAAGATAACCAGAGGATGAAAATATTTTAAGGGTTTAGTTATTTTCATGGGTAGCTTCGATCTCACTTTTGAGTTCTTCGTTGCTTGGAGAAAGAAAATCGAAATCTGATGACTGGCGGATCTTCAGTCAGACTCAGTGAGTTTATCGTTTATGTCCAATGAGCGATGCAACTGCAGGATACAACTGAACCTTGGTTGTTCAAGAATATCACAATAATTATTTCAATGAAATTTTTGATTGAGACATTTCTTTCGGGTGAAAATGGTCGGAGTTCGTCAGTTGGGGCATTCAAATACAGCGAGACGTCCCTCGGAGGATCATTGGGTTTCCGAATTATCGGTTAACCCATACCGATAAAATATAGATTCCATAATTATCGCCCGTGTTTAGGTTTCCTAACGGTTTGAGTTAACATTGATGGCACGTTGGAGTTTGTGGCGTCCATGCAGGTTAAAACAAAGTAGAGATTGTTTCGTTCCATTTCAATATTATGAAGTTTGACACAGGGATAAACATAGGCATCACAATAACGGGTTTCCATATACGTATATCCGAAGAGAGTGCAGCAAACGGTTGATTCTAACTCGTTCCATATTCATCCCACTTCTTTTGGATCCTTCACATAGTTAATGAGTTCCTGTGTATTCTCTTCTGAAGTTATCTCTCACAACCCCGTTCTCCGTTGAATTCTTCGACAATGACGTTCAATATATTGTGATATTATTAGCAATTGATTATCTAATTGATTATAGAGTTGAGTAGAAGTAGTAAGAATGCTTTTTTTTTAAGAGTTTGTTCGATGCCGGGTCTGAGATCTGTGGAATGAGCGAGTGATGAATGAGATGCGAATGGATTTTTACGGGAGCGTGAGAGGGTCCAGAATTCACTACACGTACACGTTGGTCAACACAGTCAATTTAATTATATGAAAGTCAAATATTTACACGTGATGTTTTAACTATAATAATCGAGATGATCAAATAAATGCGCGGGTCACCATATTATCGAATAACTCGCAGAACTTAACTTGCAGAGCAATTGTACGCGGGACAAACAATAGACTCGCAGAGCACGATGTATAGATTACGATGGCCGAGAATCGAATGCGAGAGATTTATAGAGCACGAGGTGGCAAGTAACGAAAATCCAGAGGTGTGAACGTGACCCAATTTAAATGGGGGTGTTCACTGGACACCTGTCCATCAAGTGGCGCCTCAAGTGTCAGAGGTGAGAGGTCACTGGTCATCTGAGGCGAGTATGTCGGTCAACTGTGCGTAGGCCATGCACACATGCGAGCGAAGTAACTGTGCGTGAGTGTGCGTATGTGTGAGGAGCGAATTATTCGCTGGAAAACCGAACAGAGTTCTTTGTTCTTATCTAAACTAATTAATCGTATTGTGACGGTAAACTTAAAAATCTCGACTCTCAAAAAGATCTAAATGAAAATCTTAAGATTCAGAAAATGGATATTGAAACTCCAACTCAAGAGTCTCTGGTGACTCATATCGCTAGAGCGAAGAGATAAAGTTGCGTGTTGTGGCATTGTCTAGTATTTCTAAAATATATATAAATATTTCTAAATATATATCTCGGCTGAATATTCAAAATTCAATTGCAAAGTTTCAAAAATCGAAAGCAAAATCAAATAAAATCAAATAAACTTTCGGCGAAACTCTTCTCCAGATCCAAGATTCTCCAAAAATCTCTTCCGAATAAATATTTCCTCTCGCTCCGATGTTTCCGGAACGCGAGCACAATGTCCTGGTTTACCAGTTTGTTGTCACCAGGGCTCGCATCAACCAGTTGAAATTATAGGAGGGATACGGAAAGAGGATCAAATATGCAAGTAGCAGCAAGAAAGATACCGATTTTTAGCATGAATTATAAAGAGTGTGCGTATATTCAGCAGTAGTCAAAAGAAATAATACAAATATTCTCAGAGATCTCATCCAAAACAAAGAAAATGTAATTCTAAACGAGGTTCGTTTGCCCCTCCAAACAAATGAAAAAAAAAAAAATTATTTTTATCGAAGAGATCTCCTTTACTCAAGATCGATAATATGCTCGGAAGAGCTAAATCAAAAACAAAGAAAATAATGATAATTTGTCGTGCATACGCCGCCTCAAATCTGAGAGTAATATTCGAGGAGAAACACGTAATGGAACCCACAAAAGACACAAAATCACAAGAAGAATTCGAAAGAAGTGCAACATTTGAGAACTGACTACGCAGCGTGTAGAGGAGAAGGCGAATGTCTTCCTCGTACCCTCAGTTGGATGGTAGAACCTTTCGGGGAGCCAATACGAAAGCTCCGTTTACGCCGTGCTGTTTGGTGGCGCAGCCTTAGGTAACTAGATCGAATTATCACGGAGGATGTTGCATTGACTCCTACAATCTTTGATCCAATCAGGGAACTCCGGATATTTTTCAATCATGACGCTGTCCTGTTCTCCGAGGATGTCTGTGACAGCTGACCAATCAGTCTTGAGATAACAAATTCGTCAATTCTCTCTAGATTCGTGTAGGCAACAGGGCCTCAGTCGCTGCTGACCCCTTGTGACGAGTGTGTGACTAACACCAATTTTTGAATGTAACCTCCGGTGTTGTTATGACAGCTAGAGATCTAGGTGGTGTCGTAGCTTTACATTGTTGCTCCATTGGGATTTTAATTCTTGCTTTATTCTTTCCCTGGATGTATCGCGTCTTCTTGGAGTCCTAGTGTTCATTGAGGCGGATAGTTGTTCCTGGTGGCCCCATCTCTAGATGGATAATGAGCCCGAGGTTCGGTGTGTTTGTCCTAACGTCTCACCTTCCCGTGGCGATTAATATAATATATTTAATATTGATTCCCAACCGTTATACCCCACACGTCCAATCGACGAAAAGAATCCCATATCGTCACAGTATAATTGAATATCCTGGAGAACATTTTTCCTTTCTTTCTTGTCTCGCATAATTGTTGCATAATAGCATGTCTGACCATCGTTTTGTTATTTGAATCTTACTTTTGTTTCCGGATGGAAGCTTTGTAGACGTTCAAAATTAAGTTTCCAAATCTTTGGGTCAGGGTAACTCAATATGGTC